ATATACAATTATAGATGTGTTTATGTTTAAAAATTTCACAAATCCAAATAATTATTAATAGGTATTATCTGTCTATAAGATTTTATCCTCAGATTTAGTGTTCGAAAGGTAAAAAATTGTGATAGTTTCCACAAACTCTTGGCATGAAATGTTACAGAAACGAGAGTTTTTATAAAATTAGGGAAGTGTAGCGCAGTAGTCGAAAATAAATTATTTCTCCAGTTATCCAACATTAATTTTTGCATACGTTGTAACTATTTTCTAATCCTATGAAATCTTGTCACTAAGCTCCTTTTAATCTATATTCCTACCTTCAAACTGTCATATCAAGTTGAACATTATTATCACCTTCGTTACTATGTGGAATTAAACAAATAATAATTGTATCCAAGTAAAACAATCTGTATAAATGCGATTGTACAGCTTTTGACAATGGAATCGCCGAAAAGATTGTCATCTTTGCTGAACTTCGTGTTCTCTTCTTTCTAATCTCCAGATGGGTATTTTCCACGAATTTACAAGCTTATCAATCGCCAAACACCTGATTGACACAGGACAGCACCGTGTAGATGTGCTGGAATCATTCAAAATAATTGACGAACAAAGTGCCTGAAGTTTTCTCAGTTGTGTTGAAGCTATAGCAATAAAACGATTGAAGCCTGACTTATGTGTCCAAAAAGAATCCGTTGTTGTATTTCAATTACCCTGATGACTCACTTCTTAGCAACTCTTTGTTTTCTAATTTCGTTAACTTATCCTTTTACTCCCCCTCTCCTTTATTTTTCGCTTCACCGTTTTGCGTCGGTGGCACAGTGGTTAGGACTCTCGCCGACCATGCACATGGTCCGGGGTTCGAGCCCACGCCTACGCACACCTGATATCTATGGTTGGCCTGCGAATTTTGGGCTACCGATATCCACGCTGAAAATTCCACACTTGTACCAAAAATACGGTGTGGAATCAAGCTGTAATCAAAAATAAAAAATAAAACAAAAAATAATAAAATTAAGAGATAATTTTTCTTGTTCTTCCAAGTTCTGCCCACTATATTACATCATCAACTTCTCATCGCACAGCATGTGCACGGAAATTTTAATCTTCTCTTATCTAACTACGTAACTGTTGCTAAATTGCTTTTGTTACCACCCCAACAACACAATTTACTTTATTTTTTCAAGAAACGTCTCTCTAACAAGATATATATATATAATGTCGTAACACTTAAGACACCTTGTAAATCACAACGCTTTATTTCACTATGACGTTTCTGACAATATGCTTGCTAATGGAATTCAGGTTGTACGCAGCTGATGAGAACCGACGAAATAAAATAGATCCAGATTATTCTGCGCCAATGTTTCTTCTTTCTTCATTCAAATTTATAAAAGGGGATCATTGTATGGAATTAAAATTGAAATGATCGTCAATAGTATAAAGATAAAACTAGGGCATTGTGCTGGAGTATAACTCCATTTTGTGTAAAATTTATTTTGATAAAGTCTCACACAGTGTGTAAACATTAATATTTACTGATAACGTTTCCAGCAAAATTTATCACGTCTCATAATCATATCAAGGCACTACTCATACAACTTTCTAACTTCGTTTATATAATTTCATTATTTTTCATCGTTCGACCTGATTTTTTTTTCCTTCACGTTCCCCAGTGGAACAAAGAGCTTCAAGCTAGAGGCTTGAAGTTTCCGTAGCAGTGTTCATTTTACAGGATGAGGTTGCTAGCCTCATGCCCAACCTTTCCTCTTCACTAGCTTTTTACTTTTGGCTCAGTGGGGTAAAGGAGTGCATCAGTAGCCGGGGATCGAACCCCGGACCATGCGCATGGTCGGCGGGCCTCCTATCCGCTATACCACCGATGCACTTGCTTGGTAGTAGTATTTTCTATATATCTGGCCTTCTTTTTTCCCATTATAGCATTTAATTGTTTCCACTTGATGTAGAAATTGTACACTGCAGCCGCATGCACCTTTGTGGTGAGAGCAGGCTGCTAGCCAAATTGGTAGGCATTAATTTATGTCAATGTTTATGTCCCAAATATTGGTCATGAGAAAATATGAACAAAGACTGATTCAACAACGAACCACAGTAGACTTTGCCTAGGCAGATACAGTTAACATTCAGATGATCTGACATTCAAGAAGCAGCCATAAAGAGATGACCACTTCAATGTGCCTTTATCAATATATTTGCTAGTGTGGAGCAAAGTATATCGGCCGTACGCTACGTCAAGTCCACAAACGTATCCTGGAACACTGCCGAGCTTTGTTAGCCAGAGGAGGAAGAATAGCAACAGCTCGACCCTCGAACATCTTGTCACCTCTGGATTTCGAGCATCCCCCCATGAATGCTTCATGATGCTACACAGAGTCCCTCAATATCGTAAAAAAGGACTTCGTATGCGCCATCTGTACATAGCTGAAGCACTAGCTATTCGAGATCTGAAACCGCATCTCTGCATTCAAAGACGTGACATACATTCTCCCGCCCCACCGTGGCCAGAGTAAATTTCTGACTATAATTTTGCTTCTCTCTATTTTTATTATGTAAGTTCATTATTATTATTTTATTACTACTATTATTTTATTATCAATATTATTTCCGTCATCCATATTTTATTATCCCTCCATTTCTGTTTATTTGTAATATTGCTTTATCATACAGATTTTATGTAAAAACACTTTGTCGCCTTTCTAACAGTTAATGTTTGTTCTACACAATCTTGGTCATTAGTTAATACCTCACACTTATTACGGCATGACAACTTCTGCATATTCTCTGAGTTATAATTAGTCATCCCTTCTAGGCTACACCTTACATTATGTAATACATTTTCCGAGGATAGAGTTTGTCAGTATTTAATTGACCTAGGAATGTCTTTGTTGAATATAATTATGATAATCCAGCTTATGAAAATGAATCGTCAAAAAGAAAACGTTTTCCGCTGTTAACATCTTTCTAATATATGTGTAAACCTTAGGCATAGTGGTAGTAAGTAATTCTATATTAGTTTGTTTATTAGATGTATCACGAAGTCAGTGAAACAGTTTTGTTTACTGGATGACACAGTTTCGAACACAATTTATTGTTCAGAATCATATCATCAATTATAATCACATGACTTTGAAACTTGAGTTTTTTATAGTTTTCTTTCTATTCTCCTATTTGTCGTCGCAGGGGTAGTAGAATTTTCCAGATATCTGGGTGGACAGGTGTTGAATCATTCCTATTACACGTATTCTCTTCAGTTGATTCGATGAACAAAGCTTCTGATATCAATCTCTCCCTCCATTTACCCTGTGAAATTAGATTTTAAAACTGTCTGTCATCTTATTCCATCCATCCTATTGTATGGTTGTGTGCAACTGCATGTGGTGAGTGGTATAGCTGAACTATTCTCTAGATTTCTTATCTTATTTGGGTTGTTTGGGTCCGATCATCCCATCCTATGTCAGTAAAAATACGATTGGTGAAATGTTTAGGTGACAGGGCAGAAAAACTATGTAGTACCAAGGAAAATCTAAGACAGAAAGTAATATACATAAAAGAAGCCTTTAAACTTAATAGTTAACCGGATAAACTAGTCAGGAAATATAAAAGTAAAATAAATAATGATAGTAGCGATAGTGATAATAATAATATTAATGACGACACCAACAATAAGGAATCTAGATCATCAACAATAAATCCATACAAGGAAGGAACCTCGGAAGCCTTACGCAGAATACTTAACAAGGCAGGAATAAAAGCGGCATTCAAGCTAACCAAAAACTCAATTAGAAACAAGCTTTGTCGGTTAAAGGATCCTGTAAAGCCATTAAGACAAAACAATTTAGTTTATCTAATACACTGCCTGAGTGCAATGATTGTCAGGTCAAATACATAGGTTAAGCTAGTAGAACAAGGCAGTCAGACTAGCCGAACATAGAAACCTAGCTAAACCTAGATTGGTTGACCCAAATAAGATATGAAATCTAGAGGATAGTTCAGCTATACCACTCACTACATGCAATTACACACAACCACACAATAGGATGGATGGAATAAGATGACAGACAGTTTTAAAATCTAATTTCACAGGGTAAATGGAGGGAGAGATTGATATCAGAAGCTTTGTTCATCGAATCAACTGAAGAGAATACGTGTAATAGGAATGATTCAACACCTGTCCACCCAGATATCTGGAAAATTCTACTACCCCTGCGACGACAAATAGGAGAATAGAAAGAAAACTATAAAAAACTCAAGTTTCAAAGTCATGTGATTATAATTGATGATATGATTCTGAACAATAAATTGTGTTCGAAACTGTGTCATCCAGTAAACAAAACTGTTTCACTGACTTCGTGATACATCTAATAAACAAAATAATTGTCTACGCCTTCGTTTATTAAAATTCAACTTAGCTACAGAAACCTTCACTGTGTTTATTTCAAATAGTCGTTTTTCCTAACTCCGATGAAAGTATTACCAAGCAGCCTCATAAATACTGAGCGCCTAATGAAAATTAGACATTCTCATAAGTTTCACTTGAATTACTGTTCTAATGAGTATTGTTTTGTATTTCAGAACACCGACTCGTAGACGAAGAACAACCTTTTTCGATAACTGCTTCATAACGCTCTACAAATATTCATCTGTATTAATCGAAGACGTGTTCGTATTGACACGAATAACACTTTAAATAGCATCTAATCAATTTCGCTGAGATTCGTATCAGTAACAGTTTTACAATATGAAGTAGACATTGTTCGACGATTTGGAACCTTTACACTCATAATAGTCAGTATATTCCATTTCAAATAATTAATTCGCAAGTATTAGGCTCTTGAGGACGGTTTATCACATTCCGACATTTTGCTTTGATCTCTGGCTAGACTGCTCAGAAAACAGTGTACACAATCCAACAATTTGCACCCACAAATTCTTTTCATGAGAACACATGATAAGAGAGCAAAAAACAGAACAGACTATGACCGCTCAGTATGTTCAGGATAGTCAAAACACATAAATATGCGAAAATATACGAAGTTCTTTCAAATCGTGTACATTTGAGGCGATATTTTCTATCATGTAAGTGAATTACTGCTCTTAATATCAGTAAAAAGTTTGAGCATTGTGGATTAGATTAAATAAAGTATAATTATATTTGAATAGTTTACACACAATGATAAGTTTTGTTATTGGTAATATTTCGAGCAAAATTACTGCCCGTGTTCACACCACTGTTGGAATTGTTTTATTTAGAAAATCAAAACAAGTGATTCAGCGAAGAGACTCTTTTCAACGAATTTATCATCAAGCTGTACAGTCGTATATATATGGTTTATCAGAAGTTATATCCGGTGAGGGAATTGAATCTTAGGTGTGAATGCACAAAATAATAATAATAATAATCATATGAAGTTCAATTAAAACTAAAATGTTTGTGATTATAATCGTAGTTAAATGTCAAGTGGCAAAGCAGATTAATGTCATATATAGAATAATTCATAGGAGGGGTAGAACTTGAAAAAGGATGTGCAATTATAGGATTAGTAGGCAAATCGAATAAAGCGAAAACGTTACGTAATATTGTGTGAAATTTAATAGCATAGAATTTATCGTTGTAAAAAAGAATTGATTTAAAATGACAAGTGGAACAAGTGAAATAATACCGGGGACAGTTCAAAGTGAGAATAGTAATAATAACAATTGACTTAATAAGGAAGAGTATACAAATTGAATAGACAAAATGAAAAAATGAAAAATTGGTAGAGCTAAAATATGATTGGGGATTATCATATTTTAGCATAGAGGGATTAAGACCATGAAAGTTGGAGGGGTTGAACGAACTTTTTCTGTACACAGAGATCTGGCTTTTCTGTTTCGATAGCCAAAGCTTCAGCAATACAGATGAGTCGGGTACGTAGGGATTTAGGTAAATTGCTCTTTGCCTTGTAGATGACTTTAAAGGCGGAGGCTATAGAGATAGGGTGATCATTTTCGACCAGATGTTCTATGATCGCGCTTCTTATTGCTCCACTTCCACCTTTTCGTAGCCATGCAGGATAATGTTCTTGCACCCTCTTGGACAAAACTCGAGTCGAACGACCGATATACCTAGCTCCACAAGAGCAAGTGAATTGATAAACGCACATAGAGTTGGTCAACATTGGGATCTTGTCCTTCAGGTTATTGAACAATAATGGTCGGCTAGTAAAGGCTATTCTCAGGGAGGCAGCAGGGAATGTTCTTTTCAGGGACTGTGATATCCTTCGTTTCATGATATCGGAAGCTAAGTCCCCTTTGAATTCTAAGCTCATGTAAAGTGTTTTCTTGGGAGCGGTTGATAAGTCACGTTTTGTAGGCTTTGAATGTATATTCTTATCTATAAAACGTGGTGGAAATCCATTTTCCATTAGGATTTTCCTCAAAGTGCATATCTCATCTTCCACAGTATCAGTGCTACAAATGCGCCGAATACGAGTGGCAAGCGACCGGACCAGGTTTCGTTTTCGACCAATAGGTACCCAGCTATAGAAATTTGTCAGTTGACCATTCCATAACAGCCTACGATAAATCGATCTCTTCAGAGTTCCATCAGTCCTTCTTGATAAGTTCACATCGAGGAAATGAATGCTAGACTCGTTCTCCATTTCGAGTGTGAATTTTATCGCAGGATGGCACTCATTAAATACATTTAATATATTATTCAGGTTACAATCAATATTACAAATAATAAAGGTGTCATCTACATACCTTTTATATATTTGAAAGCTTTGGATCATAGGCTTCAGGGAACCATTTTCTAGACTGGACATAAAAACGTCTGCAAGGAGAGGACCCAAGGGAGAACCCATCGCAATACCATCCTTCTGCCTGTAGATTGTTGATGATAAATTCGTTGAAAAGAGTCTCTTCGCTGAATCACTTGTTTTGATTTTCTAAATGTTACAATGGGAATTTTCCATGATTTAAAAAATTGTTTTATTCACACATTTATGATTTGTATTCACATATATAGTTCATTATTATTATTTTGTTCATTCATGTTTTGTGTGTGCATATGTGTGTTCAGAATTATACTCCACATTCATTCATGTGTTTGTATTTAGAATTATATCCCAAGTTCATTCATGTTTTGTGTGTGCATATGTGTGTTCAGAATTATACTCTACATTCATTCATGTGTTTGTATTTAGAATTATATTCCAAGTTGTTGATAGTTGTACTGAGTCACCCTTGTTACATGTATCCGGTGTGACTTTAATGAATATCGATTCTGTTATGAGTCTTTCTTTCCATTTGTTCATGTTTGTTTTTAGAATACATACATTGTCCCAATCGATATTGTGGTTTTTGTCCCATGCATGTGCAGCTATGGATGAATTTTTTTCAAGATTTTTGTAGGCTTGTGTCCCTGTTGGTTGACCTTTAGTTAGGCGTTTATGTTCATTCACTCTTATTTTGAGTGATCTGGACGTTTGCCCCACATATTTAGTTGGACAGTCAGCACAAGATATTTTATAAATCAAATTGTTTTTATCCATCATTTTTATGGGATCTTTCAGTGGATTTATTTTATTTTTGATTAGATTTGTCGGCTTAAACGTTGTTCGAATGCCGAAAATTTTGAGGTTTCTTTGAATTGCCTCAGATGTACCACTTTTATATGGTATTGTGACTGTATTTCTCCATTCTTCCTTCTTGTTATTCTCCGGTTTTACCCTCTTTTTTATATTATCTTTTATAAATTCTCTAGGGTAGTTGTTTTCGAGTAGCATTTTTAATAGGACTTTTATTTCTTTACGCTGATCCTCTGGTGTTGTTGTAAGTCTACGTATTCTATCTGCAAGACCCTGTATTAATCCTCGTTTTACCGAGAGTGGATGAGCTGAGTAATAGTCAAGGAATCTTCCAGAATGTGTGGCTTTTCTATATATCGTTGTTTTTATGCTACCATCTGTCATTCTTTGTAGCTTGCAGTCTAACATGGGTAGTTCTCCAATTTCATTCTCTAATTCCATAGTAAATTTTATTGAGTCGACGTGTTTGTTTATGTGTGATAAAAGTTTCTCAGCATCGTTTTTTTTCACTATTACTAGCGTGTCGTCTACATATCTCCACCAACATTTTAGTGATGATCTGAATGGTTTAAGGGCATTCTCCTCCCAATAATCCATGAAAATGTCAGCTATAATTGGTGAGATAGGCGATCCCATGGCTACTCCCTCATTTTGTTGGTATATTTTTCCTTCGAATGTGAAATATGTTGTTGTCAGACAGAATTCTATCCCTTTTATTATTTCTTCTACGGATAACTGTGTTCTGTCTTTCAGGCCATTATCTTCATTTAGTTTCTCTTTCAGTGCAATCATGGCCATTTGAATGGGTATTTTCGTGTAAAGACTGTTTACATCAAAGCTAACTAGTATTTCTTCCTCCTCTATTTTAGTGGTTTTTATTCGCCTCACTAATTCAAATGAATCTACTATTCTAGCTTTTGAGTTGTTTCTTGTCGGTCTTAGTATTGTCGAGAGAAATCTGGATAGCATATACGTTGGTGTGTTTCTGAAGTCTACAATCGGTCTTATTGGATATCCCTCTTTATGCAATTTTATCTTACCATATATCCTAGGTACATTACAGGATTTTGGCATAATTTCAAACCATTTTGACTTACCGATTACTTCTTTCATTTGTCTAACTACCTTTGCTGTTTCTTTCATTGTTTTGTTGATGATCGTTTCAGCTGATTTAGTCATTATGGTATAGGGTCCAGATTGTAGATGTTCATTCATCTTTTGATTATATGTTGTTTTGTTAAGTAATACTGTTGTGTTTCCTTTGTCTGCTTGAGTAATGACAATGGATTTGTCTGCTTTTATGTCTTGAAGTGCTTTTAGTTCCTCTTTCGTTATATTTGGTTTTTCTGCTTTTTGCTTTTTCAATGTAAGTGCACATTGTGCTCGTACCAGTTCAGCTTTTTGCTTGTCATATCCTTCGAGTGCTGTTTCAATTGCAGGTATGATGTCTTCAGGTTTTAATCTTTTGTTGCTGATATTGAAGTTCATCCCTTTCATCAATACACTTTCCTCTGCTTCTGTTAACTTTCTGTCTGACAAGTTTACAATCCAATTGGCTTTAGTTACTTGTCTGTCATTCGGAGTTTTCCCTATCATGAGTTTATTAAATTTTTTGATTTGTTTCTGCTTTGTTTTTTCATAAGTAGTTTCTTTTCGTTTTTGTGCAACTTGTAGTATGCTTTCATACTTTTCTTTTTCGATTACTTCTTTCAATTTTTCTTTTATTTCATTAATATCTTTCCTTATCGTGAATAGCTTTTGTATAATTCCACGTAGGTTTTCTTTGATGCATACTTTTGAGGCATGTGTGAGCCTTAAAAATGGAATTATTCCTGTATACATGAAATTAAAATCACCAATATCTACTGATAAAGCAAATGCAGCGCTCACACATGCCTCAAAAGTATGCATCAAAGAAAACCTACGTGGAATTATACAAAAGCTATTCACGATAAGGAAAGATATTAATGAAATAAAAGAAAAATTGAAAGAAGTAATCGAAAAAGAAAAGTATGAAAGCATACTACAAGTTGCACAAAAACGAAAAGAAACTACTTATGAAAAAACAAAGCAGAAACAAATCAAAAAATTTAATAAACTCATGATAGGGAAAACTCCGAATGACAGACAAGTAACTAAAGCCAATTGGATTGTAAACTTGTCAGACAGAAAGTTAACAGAAGCAGAGGAAAGTGTATTGATGAAAGGGATGAACTTCAATATCAGCAACAAAAGATTAAAACCTGAAGACATCATACCTGCAATTGAAACAGCACTCGAAGGATATGACAAGCAAAAAGCTGAACTGGTACGAGCACAATGTGCACTTACATTGAAAAAGCAAAAAGCAGAAAAACCAAATATAACGAAAGAGGAACTAAAAGCACTTCAAGACATAAAAGCAGACAAATCCATTGTCATTACTCAAGCAGACAAAGGAAACACAACAGTATTACTTAACAAAACAACATATAATCAAAAGATGAATGAACATCTACAATCTGG